AGTCTTAAACCAAATGAGCTCCAGTTGCAAGCCCCTAAAATCAGGGTTTAGGGTTCTTGGTTTAGGGTTGGGATGTTCCCCCGTATACTAACAGTCCTCATAGGGATAAGAGTAGGGGGTACTACAATCCCTAATGAGGACTGTTAGTGTAAGGGAACATCCCAAGTTTACCGCGCTTAGGGCTGGGGCCAAGAACCCTAAACGTTTCAGAGCTGAAGCTCAATCTCCTAAAGCTCCAAGCCTTAAACCCCAGAAGCGCGAAGACCTGAGCTCTACACGCCAATAGGGTTTAGGGTTTAATGTTCATAGGGTTTAGGGACCTCCCTAAACCCTGAACCCTCTGAGCCCATTTACACCTTACCACCCTCCACTCTTTTCCCTGCAATTTTGGGCCCCAAATCCTTGAACCCCAACGCCCAAGCCTAAACCCTGCAGTGCAAACATGCTAAAGCCCGGAAGCTTGACTTCGCAGGGTGGCGAGTTCTTCCGCAAGCCCGCGTCGGACTCTCCTGAGGCATGAATCCTAAGCCCCAGCACCCTAAGCCCCAAATAAGCCCTGAACCCTAAACCTTAGCGGGTGCATGGGCCTCTTTATGGGCATGTGTCTGTTGGGACAGAGTTCATGCGTCCGGACTATATATATATAAAGTCCCCCCGAACTATTTATAAAATTGGCCGAACTATTTATACATAGTCCGGAACCGCTCGGAACCGTTCTGGACTGTTTATAACCGAGCTGCGAGACACCATCGCCGACCATCGCTCAAATTAAAGCCGCAACAATAGCCCCACAGTGGTTATAAGTCGCCCGGAACCGCTCGGAACCGTTCCGAACTATTTATAAACGTCGGATTCTTATATAGTCCAGAACGGTTCCGAACGGTTCCGGACTACCTGGAACGATTTCGAATCATCTGCTGGAAAATTTATATATAGTTCTGAGAACTTTTATATATAGATCGAGCAATATTATATATAGTTTCTGCACCAGGCGGGATGCCCAACAGGTAAAGAGGCCCACGCACCTACTAACCTAAACCCTAAAAACCTAGACCCTGGACTTGGGATGTTCTGCACAATACTAACAGTCCTCAATAAGGATTATAATAGGAGGTACTATAATCCGGATTAAGCATGTTCTTCCTTATACTAACAGTCCTCAATAGGTATGATTATCGGAGGTACTATACTCCGGATGAAGAATTGATAGTATAAGGGGGAAAATCCCAACCCTCGACCCTAGAACCCTAGACCCTACTTGGAGGTTCATGGGTTCTTAAAACTCCAATTGCAAGTCCACTTTTTCCCTACTCAGAGGACTGAGGGTGCTTATAAGTAGGTTATCCCTGAACCCAAACCCCTATACCCTGAACCCTAAACCCTAAACCCTAAACCCTTAACCCTTAACCCTAAACCCTAAACCCTAAACCCTAAACCCTATACCCGGATCCCTAAACCCTAAACCCTATAAATCTTAAGACCCTAGAACCCTAGGCGCTTGTGTCTTGCAATGCGCGGTGTTCAGGGGCCCTCCAGAGTTCCTTCTTGCCTCCAAACCCTAAATTACTAGGACCCAGAGTAGGCCCTTATTTTTCCTTTTTTTGGGGTTTAGGTTCCCGTGAACGGCCCTTTAAACCAAAAAGGGCACCTTGAACCCAATGCAGAGAGCTTAGCTAGACTTTTCTTGTGAAAATCAACCTTAAGCCTTTTACATCCTGAACCCTACAGCCTGAACCCCTATGCACCCGGCACCCAAACCCCTACACCCTATAGACCTCAAACCGACTCAAACCTAAACCCCGAAGACCCACATTCCTCTGCAGCCTAAACCCCAAACCCTAAAACCTGAACCCTAAACCCTAAAACCCTAAACCCTAAACCCTTGCAGTTGCGGTACATCATGGAGAAGCGGGAGAAGTTGGGCGGCCCCCTTCCCATGCGGACTCCTGCGAAGGCGGGGGCTGTCGAGGATCCCCAGTAGTAGCTTCAGCCCTATGCGGGTTAGGGTGTAGGGTTTGGGGTTTAGGGTTTAAGGTTTAGGGTCTAGGGGTTTGGGGTTTAGGGATTTAGGGATTTAGGGGTTTAGGGGTTTAGGGGTTTAGGGGTTTAGGGGTTTTAGGGGTTTTAGGGGTTTAGGGGTTTAGGGCTTAGGCTTTAAGACCCAAACCCTGAACCCTCAACCCTAGACTTTCAACCCTCGATCCTCCACCCCCAAGTGCCTAACTTGCTTTCAGGAACCCAAAGCCCAAAACCCTAAACCCTAAACCCCTAAACCCTAAACCCTAAACCCCAAACCCCTAAACTCTTTTTTGGGGGGTGGGGGGGGGGGGGGGGGGCAACTTCTAAACTTTCAGCTCCAAGCCTTAGGTGTATTCCATGTATAAGGATCTAGGGGGTTTTGGGTTTGGTTTTAGGGTTTAGGGTTTAGGGTTTAGGGTTTAGGGTTTAGGGTTTAGGGTTTAGGGTTTAGGGTTCAGGGTTCAGGGTTCAGGGTTCAGGGTTTAGGGTTCAGCATCGCATGTGCGAGCTTTCACAAGTCTAGCAGCTTGTCAAGCGCCGGGAAAATACAAGGTCGCAAGGCGGGCTGCCAGTCTCAACATGAAACTGCCTTGATACGACCTTATGAACCTGAACCCTCAACCCCAAACCCCAAACCCCAAACCCCAAACCCCAAACCCCAAACCCCAAACACCAAACACCAAAACCCTCAAAGCCCTATAGTTTCGGCCCTATAGGCCTTCAGCCACGTTCCCCCGGCAGTCCCTTCCACAGTGGAAGCCATCAGTTTCTTAGGTGGGGAGTTTCCTGTTCGTACTTCCCCCCTAGTATACCCCAAAACTCAGGGATAATTGGAAATAGTTTTTTGACTCTTGGGTACTAGGAATTTCTCAGAAACAACTGAAATTGTAACGTTTAGTATAGCAAAAGACGAACATCCTTATTGTAGGAGCCCAAAGGAAGGGTACCCCTGTTTTCAAAAACCCCGAAATATGCCCCTTATATAGCCCTTCCACTACCCTTAGTGCCCTCATCTACCACTGACTGCAGCGTGCACTTCCCGAAACTCCCCCCCTCCTGAAGCCCTAAACCCTAAAGCCCTAAGCCTCCTAAACCCCCCTAAACCCCTCAAACCCCCTAAACCCTCGAAACCCCCGAAACCCTAAACCGCATGCATCCTAAACCCTAAACCCCACACCCTGTAGACAGGTCAGCGGTCTCATCGACTTGCCTCCATCAGAGCTCTTCAACATGTGCGAGCCCGAATATTCGGGGGAGGGGGCAGGGGTTATCTCATGAAGCCCTTAACCCTAAAAAACCCCTAAACCCTATATAAACCCTGAAGCCCTCAAACCCTAAACCCTCAGCTCTTCGCCTTCCACCTTAGTTATGCGGGAATAGAGGAGATCAGGTCCCAGTCAAAGCCGCATCCAGAAGCACATAACGCCAAGCACCAATCCTGGCAGGTCTTAAAGGGCTTTGGTGTTTAGGGCTCAGGGTCCCAGCAAGCACGTCAGGTTTGACCAGGGCAATGCGAAGGCGCGTCGCCACCCTGCCCTGCACATTGCCCGGGCTTGCGGGTTTCGGTGGGTTTCTGTCAAAGCTCCGTGCCCCTCCACTAAGGACTAAGGAATATGTGAAAAGTTTGTGGTGCGGTGGGGGTTGTGATGCTTTGAGGGGGGGTGTTGGAATCCTCCCAACCCGGAAACCCGAACAAAAGCGCTAAACGCCTTAGACCCTTACCCGCGCTCCTCAACAAAAAAAGAGACTGACACAAGCACTCGAAACAATATGTAGAAAATGCCAAAGCCGCTCAAACACCCTTCGATCCTTCCATGAGGGAATATTTGCCACGAGTTGCAAAGTGGTTCGTTCTGATTCTCAGTTTACCTACAGGGCCCGGGGTTTCCAAGTATGTTCATGGGTACCCCTACCCGCCTCTGTACCCCCCCCCCCCCTCCCTAGGTTCCCCCCTTCAGGCAGTTTAGGGATAATGAAGCCTAATCAAGGTTATTAAAGGGGGGAACTTGTATAGAGGTAGATAGTAGGGAAACCCAGGTATGTCTTCACAAGCACAGAAAAAGCTGGGGTTTAGGGTCAACCTACCGGTTCTTAGAAGGAAAGGAGGGAATCAAGCAAGCCCGAGACCCTAGACCCTAGACCCTAGACCCTAGACCCTAGACCCTAGACCCTAGACCCTAGACCCTAGACCCAGGACCCTGGACCACCCTAGACCCTAGACCCCTAGACCCTAGACCCTAAACCCTAGACCCTAGACCCTAGACCCTAGACCCTAGACCCGAGACCCTAGACCCTAGACCCTAGACCCTAGACCTTAGACCCTAGACCCTAAACCCTAAACCCTCAACCCTAAACCCAAAACCCTAAACAATAACCCAGTTCTTGGGAGCATGTCGGACTGACTTCTGTGGAATGCCGCGCGGCGCGTGGGGGATCAGGGTTAAGGGCTAGTAGTAGAGTAGGTAACCTTTAACCTTTTTGGGGTAATATCATCCCCTTAGAATCCCAAAGGTTAACCTTTAGTTCCCCCAGGTTACTGGGGCTCAGAGCCTTCAGTGCTTAAGGGTGTGGGTCCCTATAAGCCCTGAACCCTAAGCACTGAGTTCAAATCACGCCATGGGCTTCCGGCCTCCGGTTTCTCTAGGTTTTCCGGTTTAGGGTTTCGGGTTTCGGGTTTAGGGTTTAGGGTTCAAGGGTTTCGGGCTTGACGCGCTTCAAGGTCGACTCTGAAGCGTTGGCTTTTTCGTTAAATTGCTTGCCTAGATGACCAAGATAAATCGCTGATGCCCAATCTCAGATACCCTAAGCCCGACAGGTCAACCCGAACCCGCTAAACCCCAAGCAATACACCCCTAACACCTGAACCCTAAATCCTAAGCCCTAAACCCTGACCCCGAACACCTAAACTTAAACCCGAAACCCTAAGCCCTGAACCCTAAGCCCTCAGAAGCTTTCCAACCAAGGGGGCCCTTAAGCCAGCCATGGCATCCGATGTGGGGGCGATCGCAGCACTCTGCAAGGATCAGGGTTGTGGTTTGGGGGTTTAGGGTTTAGGGTTTAGGGTTTAGGGTTTAGGGTTTAGGGTTTAGGGTTTAGGGTTTCGGGTTTTAGGGTTTAGGGTTAGGGTTTAGGATGTTTGAGTGTGGGCCCATGTGGGCCTTTCATTTAGAGATTAGGGTTGAAGGCTTTGCAGTGTGGGCCATATGGACTTCTCGAGACCTTGGGATCCTTATATACCAATTTCATGCCGTTTTAGAAAGCCCTAGCCCTGAGCCCTAAACCCAAAGCCCTAGACCCTAGACCCTAAACCCTACACCCTAAACCCTAAACCCTGACCCTAAACCCTAAACTCTAAACCCTAAACCCTAAACCCGAAACCCTAAACCCTAAACCCTAAACCCTAAACCTGACGTATCCCTCAAAGATCCAAGGCTCCGTGTTAAGGCCTTGTAACCTTAGAAACGGGTGGAAGGGGTTGGATGTGGGCGCTGTAATAAGAAGGTTTTAGGTTTTTGGGTTGAGGTGTTTGGTTTTCAAGGCTCAAGGTTTGGGTTGTGGGTCTTGGTGTTTTGTTGCCTTTGTAAGGCCCAAGACAAGTTCTTACAAACCTTGCATCAAACACGTAACCCCCAAACAAAAGCACCCTAAGCGCCAAGCCCTCTAAACACCATAGCTCAAACCGCAGAAAAGCCCTAAAATCCTAATCTCTATTCCTTATATCAAGAAAGCCATCAAAAAGCTCGTAAACAAATCCACAAAACCCTAAACCATCTTACGCATACTCCAAAACACCCGAAGCCCTAAACCCTAAACTCTAAGCCCCTAAACCCTAAGCCCCTCTGCCCTAAGTCCCTAAATCCTAAACCCTAAAGCCCCTAAACCCCCTAAACCCTAAACCCCCTAAACCCTAAACCCTAAACTTATAAACCCTAAACCCTAAACCCTAAACCCCAAACCCTAAACCCTAAACCCTAAACCCTAAACCCTACACCCTACACCCTACACCCTACACCCTAAACCCTAAACCCTAAACCCTAAACCCTAAACCCTAAACCCTAAACCCTAAACCCTAAACCCTAAACCCTAAACCCTGCACCCTAAACCCTAAACCCTACACCCTAAACACCCTAAACCATAAAAGCACCTACAAGCCCCTAACAGCCCCTAACAGCCCCTAAGAGCCCCTAAAAGCCCCTAACAGCCCCTAAAAGCCCCTAAAAGCCCCTAAAAGCCCCTAACAGCCCCTAAAAGCCCCTAAAAGCCCCTAAAAGCCACTAAAAGCCCCTAAAAGCCTCTAAAATAAGAGCCCCTAAACGCGGAGCTGGAAGGAGTCCTTCGACTTGGAAGACAAGGCAAAGTCCGGCCGCCTGGCTCAGGTGCGGGGGGCGTTCGGGTCTTGTTCTTAAGGCCCTAAACCCTAAACCCTAAACCCTAAACCCTAAACCCTAAACCCTAAACCCTAAACCCTAAACCCTAAACCCTAAACCCTAAACCCTAAACCCTAAACCCTAAACCCTAAACCCTGAACCCTGAACCCTGAACCCTGAACCCTGAACCCTGAACCCTAAACCCTAAACCCTAAACATCCTGAGCATCCTAAGCCCTCAACCTAAACTGAAAACACCTTGTCCCAAAGCTCACCCGAAACCCTAAACCCTAAACCCTAAATCAAAAAACCCTAAACCTTAAGCCAACATGCCCAAACCCTGAACCCGAAACCCTAAACCCCAAACCCGAAACCCCAAACCCTAAACCCCAAACCTTAAACCCTAAACCCCAAACCCTAAACCCTGAACCCCAAACCCTAAACACTAAACCCTAAACCCTGAACCCCACGCAGGCGCCATTCAAGTCGGCGCTGCGCCGGGTTTTTGCCGGCCTTGCCGGTGCCGTGCCGCAGCCGGATGATGCGTGGTTCGGGAAGGCGAGAGAGGGTTTAGGGTTTGTAGGGTTTAGGGTTTACGGTTTCAGGGTTCAGGGTTTAGGGTTTAGGGTTTAGAGGCTCAACGTCTGAGGAATTTGGGGTGAAGGTTTTTTAGAGGTTTGGGGGTTTTAGGAGGTTCAGGTTTTGGCTTACTGCGGAGAATCTTCTAGAATCAATGGGTTATTGGAGTCTCGAGGGACTGCGAAAAACTACTCCCCGCCTCGGCTTCCCTCTCCTGCCCTCACCCTAAACCCTAAACCCTAAACCCTAAACCCTCAACCCTAAACCCTTAACCCTAAACCCCTCCCTGTGCGGAGGTCTTCGACAGCTACGCCGCGCGCTGCGGCGGCAATGGGGTCTCGCTTAGGGCGATGGAGGATGCTGCCAAACAGTTCGTCGCGCACCACCAGCGCAAGGTGCAAGCCGCGACGGAGCAGAAGCCCGCCAAGGGCATCGAGTCCTCGGGCGCTGCCCTGTCGGGTCTCGTGCCGCCGCCCAAGCAGGTTGTGCAAAACTCTGCTGGCATCCAGGGCGGCTACGCCATTCCCAACCAGGCAGGCTGGGGAGAAGAAAGCCCTCAGAATTCGGAAAATGTGGCCCTCAAGATCAAAAGACGGCACTGCTCCCCCTCTAAACCCCCCCAGAACCCCCCTAAGCCTCCCCTAAATTCCCTAGAGCGCCCTTAGCCCCCCCCACCCTGCCGAAGATGCCCCTGGAGAGGTGCCCTTCCCTCCAAACGTCCAGGGCTATGTGCACGAGGCTTCTGGCAGGAGAGCCGCGGGAACGGTCGAGTTGGCTTCCGCGGAATCTCGGTGGCACATGGTTGGTTTAGGGTTTAGGATTTCGGGTTCAGGGTCTAGGGTTTAGGGTTTAGGCTTAGGGTGTAGGGTTTAGGGTTTAGTTTAGGGTTTAGGGTTTAGGGTTTAGGGTTTCGGGTTTAGGGTTTAGGGTTTAGAGATATTGGTCGTCGCTGTGAGAAGAAGGACCCAAAGATGGATCCGAATTCCGAGGGCGAACCTCAGACTCATGGGGTTTTAGGGTGTCGTGTTTTTTTCGGTTTTTTTCGGGTGCTTTTGGGGCTTTAGACTTTTTCGGTGGTTTTCGTAGTGTTTGGGCAGCCATGGCCCGATTGTGGCGGGCCATCTAACAATGTTAAAACCCCACCCCGCACCGTCTTTTCAATGTTTATTCAAATAATAATTGTTACAAGAGTTGCAATCAAGAGAATATACTTCTGTATGTTGGCAATAACACTTATAACGCTTATCCTTTTTTACTTTGGAATACAATTTGCAAAAAAAGGTTACTTTTATAATGCTTAGAACGTTTATCTTTTTTTTATCTTTGTCTCAAGCGGCAAAAGGCCCACTTGCAACAAGCTTCTCCCAGTGTGCCGGTAGGCGAGCTCCAGGAAGAGGTCTCAGGGTGCCCTCCTAGGGTTGAGGGTTTAAAGTTTAGGGTTTAGGGTTTCGGGTTTGGGGTTTCGGGTTTCGGGTTTAGGGTTTAGGGTTTAGGGCTTGGGGTTTAGGGTTTAGGGTTTAGGGTTTAGGGTTTAGGGTGTAGGGTTTAGGGTTCCAAGGCAGGCTTCAGGGGTGTCCGGGCAAGAGGGCGGCTCTGGGAGACCCGGGTCGACATGCACCTTTGAGTCAAGGGGTTTAGGGTTTAGGGTTTAGGGTTTAGGGTTTAGGGTTTAGGGTTTAGGGTTTAGGGTTTAGGGCTTCAGCGCCGCCCTTGAGTTTAGGGTGTCAGGTTTTGGAGTCTTGATGTTTTGGGCTCAGGGTTGAGGCTTTTGGGTTTAGGGTGTTAGGTTTTGAGCTAAACCCTAAACCCTAAACCCTAAACCCTAAACCCTAAACCCTAAACCCTAAACCCTAAACCCTAAACCCTAAACCCTAAACCCAGGTGATGTGCCCCATGAAGCAGGGCGCGGGGGTCCACGAAGAGTACACCTTCGACCAAAAGTCTCCTGGTCCGCAACAAAGCCTAATTGTTGGCCTAGTTAAGCTCAAAGCCCCTAACCATAAACAGAGGGTTCAGGGTTTAGGGTTTAGGGTTTAGGGTTTAGGGTTTAGGGTTTAGGGTTTAGGGTTTAGGGTTTAGGGCTTGAACCCTGAAGCATCTTACGCCCCAAGCCCGAAACCCTAAAGAACCCGAGGAACCCTTCAGCCAGGAACTTTGAACCCTAAACACCAAACCCCTTGGGGTCTACGGGGTGGGGCCCCCTTACTATACTACTAACTGTAGTTAAGGGACTTATAACCTAACTTAGGGTCCTTATAACCCAATTTAGGGCCCTTATAACTCTACTTATAACTAGGGGGCCCCACCCTGTAGGGTGTTGGGTTTTCAGGGTGTTGGGGCTTTAGGGTTCAGGTTTTCACAGGGGGTTTAGGGCTTTAGTGCAAAACCCTAAAACCTTTTGAACCCCTAGTCCTAAAACCCTATTCACCCCTAAACCCTAAAGCCCTAAACCAAATCCCTCTTTCTTGTCGGAGGCTTGGTGAGGGCAGCTTCGGGCAAGTCTGCGTGGTGACCCACAAGACCGCAGGTAAAGGTTTCGGGTCTAGGATTTGGGGTTTAGGGCTCAGGTTCATAGGGTTTAGGGTTTAGGGTTTGGGGTTTAGGGTTTAGGGTTTAAGGTTCAGGGTTTAGGGTTTAGGACACTTGGGGTTTGGGGCTCAGGGTCTGTGATGGGGAGACCAGGACGAACGGCGCAGGGTTTGCGGATGTTTAGGGTGTAATCAGGGTTCATGGTTTCGTGGTTCACGATGGTTCACGAGTCTAGATTCCAGGATCTTGTCGTCTTCCGTCTGTCAGAACAACAAAAACCCTATGCCGTCGCTCAGAATCTCGAACCCTGAACCCCAAAACTCCCTACAACCCTAAACCCTAAACCCTACACCCTAAACCCTAAACCCTAAACCCTAAACCCTGAACCCTGAACCCTGAACCCTGAGCCCTGAACCCTGAACCCTAAACCCTGACCATGATTCGCGCCCCACGGTACAGCCCTAACCCCTTTCCCGAAGAAGCCTCGCACGCGAACCCTAAGCTTTGAACCCTCCATGCAGGCGTAGGGTTTACGGTGATAGGGTTTAGGTTTATATAGGGTTTAGGGTTTTAGGGTTTTAGGGTTTAGGGTTTAGGAAAGTTTAGGGTTTAGGGTTTAGGGTTTGGGGTTTGGGGTTTAGGGCTTAAGGTTTAGGGTTTAGGGTTTTAGAACCATACGCGTATCCGCATCCCAGAAGCAGGATCACGGGCCAGCGCCGCGCCTGCAAGCGCGTGTCCGTGCAGACGGAGACCGACCGGAGGCAGTGCTTGCTTTCGGGTTTAGGGTTTAGGGTTTAGGGTTTAGGGTTTAGGGTTTAGGGTTTAGGGTTTAGGGTTTAGGGTATATGGTTTAGGTTTAGGGTCTAGGGTTAGGGTCGGTCTTAAGGTTTATAGGGCTTAGGGTTTAGGGTTAGGGTTTTACGTTGGGATGTTCCACCTGATACGAATAGTCCTTAATAGGGATTTACCCTACCCCGTACTATGACTATGAACATCCCAAGTTTTACAGGTTGGGTTTCAAGGGTAAGGGTATGCTCAGCTTTCCTAAGCCCCATACCCGAAGCTTGTGTAGACCCGGAACCCTAGACTGGACATAGTTTAGGGTTTAGGGTTTAGGGTTTAGGGTTTAGGGTTGAGGGTTTAGGGTTTAGGGTTTAGTGCTCCAGACAACTTTAAGGTTCACGAGGGCAGGTCGTCGTAGGCTGCAGGACTTATAGAATGCAGAATCGGTCAATCCAAATAATTTCCAGTAGTAGTGCGTTGTAACCCTTGCTTGGTGGAATTGCAACACAAGCCTCTCAGCACTTAACCCAAAATTCCCTTTCCAAGAAAACAGGCCCGTGTCTACCCACCCCCCCGAGCAACCTCCCCCAAACCTCCGAAAGCTTGAGCCCTGAACCTTTATAGGGTTTAGGGGCGGAGCGGGTTGAGGTTTTAGGGTTTCCAGGGCCATCCCTAAACCCTACACCCTACACCCTGCACCCTAAACCCTAAACCCTATACCCTAAACCCTAAACCCTAAACCCTAAACTCTGAACCCTAAACCCTAAACTCTGAACCCTAAACCCTAAACCCTAAACCCTAAACCCTAAACCCTAAACCCTAAACCCTAAACCCTAAACCCTAAGGCTCCCCAACATGCGAAGAAGGCTCGTGGATACGGAGATCCAGCTCCTGAAGAAGCTGGACCATCCGCACATCATGCGGCTCTCTGAGTCCAGGGCCCAGGTCGTCCGAAGATTTTTAGGAGGGTTCGGGGTTTAAGGTTTAGGGTTTAGGGTTTAGGGTTTAGGGTTTAGGGTTTAGGGTTTAGGGTTTAGGGTTTAGGGTTTAGGGTTCAGGGTCTAGGGTTTATGGTTCAGAGTTTTTTTTTTTGAGTTACTTTGTAGGGCTTAGGGTTTGAAGGGTACTTGAAAGGAACTCCTTAACCAGCACCTCGACCCTGATCCCCCGAGTGCCCCTCCCCCTCTAAACCCTAAACCCTAAACCCTAAACCCTAAACCCTAAACCCTAAACCCTAAACCCCAAACCCTAAACCCTAAACCCTAAACCCTAAACCCTAAACCTAAACCCTAAACCCCTCGAGTCCTAGACTGCAGGTGCTTCGTGGAGCGCCAGGGCCTCTTCTTGATCTCGGAGCTCTGTGAGGCGCCATGCCAACAGTTGAGGGTTTAGGGTTTAGGCTTTAGGGTTTAGGGTTGCTTAGGGTTTAGGGTTTAGGGTTTAGGGTTTAGGGCTTAGGGTTTAGGGTTTAGGGTTGAGGGTTTAGAGTTTAGGGTTGAGGGTTGAGGGTTGAGGGTTCTAGAGTTCAGGGTTTCTGGAGGTTTGGGGGGGGGGGGGGGGGGGGGCGGGGGGTTAGGGTTTAGGGTTTCGAGTTTAGAGTTTAGGGGTAGGGATTAGGATTTGTTTGTTTTTGAGCTTAGGGTTGTAGAGTTTAGGGTTTCGAGTTTAGGCTTGAGGTTTAGGGTGTAGAGTCTACGGTTTAGGGTTCCAGGGCGTTTGCAGTGGGGGGTTGTGAGGTTCTTGTTGCGGCTTAGGGGTCAGCGTTCGCACACGCCTCCGCAGTCGTGGAGCTAGAGCCTAACCTTAAACTCCTTCTTAAGACCCGAAACCCCAAAAACCCAAACCCTAAACCCCAAACTCCTCAACCCCAAAACCCTCAATGCCCTCAAAACCCCTGCCCCTAACCCTAAACCCTAGACCCTACACCCTACACTCTAAACCCTAAACCCTAAACCCCTAAAACCCTCAAAACCCCCCCCCAAAAAACCCTCAAAGCCCGACACCGGAAACTCGCCAGGGCGGCACGCTCCTCGCCGGCTTCGCCCGACATGGCTCGGAGACCGCGGTGTGCAGCCTCAGCTGGCTGCTTTCGGGTTTAGGGCGTAGGGTTGAGAGTTTAGGGGTTTAGGGTTTAGGGTTTAGGGTTTAGGGTTTAGGGCGTAGGGTTTAGGGTTTAGGGTTTAGGGCGTAGGGTTTAGGGTTTATAAGGTTTAGGGCATAGGGTTTAGGGTTTAGGGCGTAGGGTTTAGGGTTTAGGGTTTAGGGCTGAGGGTTTAGGGCTTAGGGTGGGTTGCTCCGCCGTTGTGCGGGTCTGGGGCTTAGGGCTTCAGAGCAAGTTGCAAGCTTGCTTCGGCTTTGTTTTGGAGGTTTAGGGTTTAGGGTTTAGGGCTAGGGCTCAGGGGTGTTTAGTTGGGTCTTCCGGCTTAGGATCTTCAAGCAAGCGTTGGCACGAGTCACGGATATCCGAAATCCTAAACCCTAAGCCCGAAACCCTAAACCCTGAACCCTGAACCCTAAATTCTAAACCCTAAATTCTAAACCTTAAACCGCAACCCCTAAACCCTAAACCCTTGTTTCCTGGGGCTCTTTATCCCCTTCGCCAGTATGTCGCGCTTTCTCGGCCCAGGCAGCTGCGGCGATTCGTCAGATCCTGGGCGCCACGGCCCCTCGGCAGAGACCTTTTGTACGGTGTAAGTGAAACAGGGTTATATTTCTGTTATTGGTGAATGTATATAAGGTTCCTTCTTAAATTTGGTGAGTGTGTATATATTGGGTGTCCTTTTGGGGGTACAAGAAATATACACTCTACAGGGTGTAGTGTAAGTGGGGTGTAAGTGGGGTGTAAGTATAGGGTGTAGTTATAGGGTGGAATCAGGGTGGAAGTAGGGTGCAGGTAGGGTGTAGGTAGGGTGGAAGTAAGGTGTAGGTAGGGTGTAAGTAGGGTGTAAGTACGGTGTATGTAGGGTAGGGTGGAAGTAGGGTGGAAGTAGGGTGTACGTAGGGTGTACGTAGGGTGTAGGTGGGGTGTAGGTAGGGTGTAAGTAGGGTGTAAGTAGGGTTTAGGGCTTTAGGTTTAGGGTTTAGGGCTCTTAGGGTTTAAAGTTTTGGCTTCAGGATTGAGGCTTCAGGGTTTAGGGCTTAGGAAGTCTTCGGATGTAGCGCTTGGGGTTTCGGGTTTGAGGTATTGGATTCCTTGTTGAGGCCCTGGCAAACTCTTAAGAAACCTGGACAACGTTCACAAGCCTGATGAGCCCGAGCCCCACAAGCCCTAAGCTTGATGAGCCCCTGTAGACTTGGTAGCCCTAAACCCTAAACCCCAAACCCCAAACCCTAAACCCTAAACCCTAAACCCTAAACCCTAAACCCTAAACCCTAAACCCTAAACCCTAAACCCTAAACCCTAAACCCTAAACCCTAAACCCTAAACCCTAAACCCTACACCCTAAACCCTAAACCCTACACCCTAAACCCTAAACCCTAAACCCTAAACCCTAAACCCTCAACCCTCAACCCTCAACCCTAAACCCTAAACCCTAAACCCAATCGCTTAGAGCTCCGCGACCTGCACATGTTGCCCGCAGCCACGTCTTGGGCCGAGAGGGCTCTTAGCAGGGAATGAGGGATTTAGGCGCCTTAGATTCCCCCTGCATAAACCCTAAACCCTAAACCCTAAACCCTAAACCCTAAACCCTTCAAGGGAGAAATATAGTGTACCGGGTACCTATTTCCCTCATTCCCTGCTAAGAACCAGTAAGTTTGGGCCGTTCGAGGGCCTGAGGCGAGGCGTGGGCCAGGTTTAGGGTTTAGGGGTTCGGGGTTTAGGGTTTAGGGTTTAGGATTTAGGGTTTAGGATTTAGGGTTTAGGGTTCAGGGTTTAGGGTCTGGGGTGTAGGGTTCAGGGGTTTGGACGGCCCAGAACTCTGCTCGAACTATGAGCCGTGTATGTTGGGATCTGGGGTTTTAGGGCTTGGTGACTTCAGGGTTGTGTGGTTTCAGGGTTTTGTGGTTTTGTGGTTTTAGGGTCTTAGGGATCTAGGACTTAGGGTTTGGAGAATACGCGAAAGAGAGAATTGGCTGCTGTTGGGAGTTTGGGGTGTGGGGGGGGATTTATGGTTTGGGGTTTGGGGAGGTTGGGGGGCATTTCAGTTGACCTTCTTGGGCTTCGGGTTTTGGATTCAGCCCAGATGGCTAAGCGCCTGCTTCGGGACAGGGGGTTCAGCCTAAGACCTACACCCCCGACCCTGCGGAGCAATTGCTGGAAACTAGTGCTTAATTGTGGGTTGGTTTAGGGTATGGGGTATGGGGTTTGTAGGGTTCGGGGTCTAGGGTTTAGGGTTTAGGGTTTAAGGTTCAGGGTTTAGGGTTGAAGGTAGATTGCGTTGTCTGCGCTGAACCGTACAGGGTTGGAGTCGGCCCGGCCAGGTGTCTGCGGACACCTGGCTTCGGGGGGGTTGGACAGGACCGAGCTGAGCTTTTTGAGCAAGTTTGTGCACAAGAAGTGGGCGAAGCCACCAAAAGCCACTGAAGCACCCACTTCGGTCAAAAGTAGCTGCGTTGCGCAGTGGTGGCCTTGCCGAAGACAAGGCTCGACGCACCTCGCGCGCCAAGCCGTGCTGCATCGAGTTCCGAAACAGTTCGCCTCTTTGCAGAATGCTTCCTTGAACGCGTTGCCATCACCTCCGTGTTCGCGAGCGGAAGTTTGCGAACTTTGCGCACTGGGACACGACCGGCTGATGAGCCTGCATGCCTCTGTCGCTTCATAAGGCCCTAACCCTAAACCCTAAATCCTAAACCCTAAACCCTAACCCCTAATCCCTAATCCCTAAACCCTAAACCCTAAACCCTAGACCCTAAACCCTGAACCCTACTTTGAGAGCCGGACGCTGTAGTTGTCTACAACTCCATAACCCTAAGCCCGAAACCCTACTCTATAACTTGTATGTTCGCACCCTAAGCTCCACAACCCTAGAACCCTAAGCTCTACAGTTCCATACCCTTCAGTTGCATCGCAGAACCTTATGCCCTGTGATTTCTGTCGCCCCGAGCCCTCCAACACCACTGCAGCCCTTGGCTCTTTTGCATAATGCTAGGCCCAACAAGGCCCTGAGGCCTTAAAGCTGACCCTACACCTCATAGGGTTTAGGGTTTAGGGTTTAGGGTTTAGGGTTTAGGGTTTAGGGTTTAGGGTTTAGGGTTTAGGGTTTAGGGTTTAGGCTTAGGGTTTAGGGTTTAGGGTTTAGGGTTTAGGGTTTAGGGTTTAGGGTTTAGGGTTTAGGGTTTAGGGTAGCTTTTATCCGAAACCCCATGCCCTAAACCCCAAATCCCTCTCGCAGCCCTAAACCCCGAAACCCCGAAACCCCGAAACCCCGAAACCCCGAAACCCCGAAACCCCGAAACCCCGAAACCCCGAAAACCCGAAACCCCGAAACCCCGAAACCCCGAAACCCCGAAACCCCGAAACCCCGAAACCCCGAAACCCCGAAACCCCGAAACCCCGAAACCCCGAAACCCCGAAACCCCAAGCCCTAAGCCCCGAAATCCCAAACCCTAAACCCCAAACCCCAAGCCCTAATTAAACCCTAAACCCCAAGCCCTGAACCCCCTAACCCTAAACCCTAAAACCCGAAAGCCCAACACCCCAAAAGCCCAAAGCCCCAAACCCTAAGCCCCTAAACCCCAAAACCCTAAACCCCTAAGCCCCAAAACCCCAAACGCAAGCCCCAAACCCCAAAACCCTAAAACCCTAAGCCCCAAAACCCCAAACCCCAAACCCCAAACTCTAAACCCTAAACCCTAAACCCTAATCCCTACTTAAACCCTTACAGGGTTTAGGGTCCTGAAGGCCAGCAGCCTTCATGGGCCGGCTGCAGCTTCTGGCGCTGCTTCTGGCATCCTGCAGCGCATTGGCAGCTGGCCGCCACAAGGTTTACGGTTTAGGGGTTTACGCAGGGCGGTTCAAGCTAAGCCCTAAGCCCTAAGCCCCAAACCCTAAACCCTAAACCCTAAACCCTAAACCCTAAACCCTAAACCCTAAACCCTAAACCCTAAACCCTATAACCCTATAACCCTATAACCCTATAACCCTATAACCCTATAAACCCTAAACCCTAAACCCTAAATTAGCCTAACCCCAACCCCTAAGTCCCATAAGGCCTCAGCAGAGTTTAGGGCTTCGGGTTTACAGTTTAGGGTGCCGACTTTGCCCACGTCAGGCTGGTCTTGGCGACTAAACCTCTGAAACCCTGGACCCCGTTTAGGGTTTAGGGTTTAGGGTTTAGGGTTTGGGGTTTAGGGTTTAGGGTTTAGGGTTTGGGGTTTAGGGTTTAGGCTTTAGGGTTTAGGGTTTCGGACTCAGGGCTGAGGCTCCCCTGAATTCCTAGGAGAAGGAGCCGAGCCCGCCCCTGAAGTGTGCACCTAGTCCCTAACAGGTAAATAACCCTAAACCCTAAACCCTAAACCCTAAACCCTAAACCCTAAACCCTAAACCCTAAACCCTAAACCCTAAACCCTAAACCCTAATCCCTAAACCCTAAACCCTAAACCCTAAACCCCAAACCCCTAAATCCTAAATTTCTTTAAATGTCAAGGGCTCAGAGGGTTGAGGGTTTATAGGGTTTCGGATATTGTTAAGCACTGCAAGCTTCAACCCTAAGTCCTAAAACCCTAAACCCTACACCCAAAACCCTAAACCCTAAACCCTAAACCCTAAACCCTAAACCCTAAATCCTAAATCCTAAATCCTAGAACCCTAAATCCTAAACCCCAAGCCCTAAACCCTAAAAGAGCAATCCCTGCAGGCCCAAGAGACTGCCTTCGCCGCCCGGCCGCCCAAGGCCCGGCCACTGACTCGAGAGGAGGCGCGGGGGCTGCGGCTTCAGGGGTGTTTAGGGCTTGGGGTTTAGGGTTTAGGGTTTGGGGTTTAGGGTTAGGGTTTGGGGTTTAGGGTTTAGGGTTTGGGGTTTGGGGTTTAGGGTTTGGGGTTTAGGGCTTAGGGTTTAGGGTTTAGGGTTTAGCGACGGGTCTGAAGGTCTTAGGGTTTATCGGACTTCGGAGTTCTTGCTAAGGCATTTGTTTTTTCGGTGCTTATAGGTGTATATAAGGCTATCACCGTGCTCTAGCCATTTCAGTTGTAAGTAGGGCTGTCATAGGGTTTGGCTAGCTGTATCAAGAACTTCTGTAGTGTCAAACGGTATGGAAGCCCTTCAACAGCTCGCAAGCACGAAATGTCTTAGACACCCAACCCCGCAAACCCGACTCCGAAACCTTGCGCGCTAGCCACAGACCCGAAACTCTGAACAGTAGGCCCGCAACACTGAAGCAAACCCTTACTCAAACCCCCCAACCCTGAAACCAACCAAGCCCTTGCTTAAAACCTCCCCCCCCCCCCCCCCCCCCCGCCTGAAAACCCTAAGCCCTAAACGCAAAACATGGGAAACAGACAAAAACCTAGCCCTAAACCCTAAACCCTAAACCTTCAACCCTAAACCCTAAACCCTAAACGCTAAACCCTAAACCCTAACTAAACCCTGAACCCTAAACCCTAAACCCTACTAAGTCCCAAGCCCTCGAAAGCTCCAGGCCATCTCGCGTCTCCAGGGCCTGGACGTGGGCACAGCGCGCCGGCTGTCCTCCTTCCCCAGAGTCTCGACGCCCAGCACTTTT